GAGCTGGCAAACGGTCTGCCTGTGCAGGCGGCAAAGTGGCAAAGTGGCAAGTGAGCCGTCCAAGCACCAACATGCTCGATTTGCAACATGCTGTTGGCTCTGGGGTGCGGCTGAAGCAGCAGGTTAGCACAAATCACAAACCAACTTCCATTGTGTCAATTTGCAATAAGGGAGCGTCTGCATGTAATTTGGATAACCCCTCATCTCTTCAATGGACCCAATGTGGGGGATGCATTTGTGTAGATCCCGAATGACCAGCCTCAAGTAGATGAGGTCGATTGGCCTGCACTCACTCTTGGCAACAATCGACTGAAGGCCATTGGTTGCATGTTTTTCATGGGCATGGCTTCCTCCGAAGGAATCTCTGCAATGCTGATTCAAGCCAACTACAAGGCTGATGACAATCCGTGCAAACCCCAAGTACGGGGGGTCTGTTGCCATGGCACATGTAGGCAGCATTGATCCACTCGACGTATTGAGTCGCAATCAAACCCTGATACAACAGGGGTCATCAAAAGGTCAGCCGGGGACTGTCCCTTCGCCTAATCTGGCCTAATGGTGGCATATAATCCACTGGTTCTGCCTGACTGCCCTTAGGTTTGATACTGGCTTGCTCGAAAGCCGGCAAGGCCACAGGCAATTAAGAGCCACTGCCGCGCAACGAGGAACTCCAAGGGACAGAAAGCCCACGTAATGAGTCCGAAAACTGACCATCCGCACACCAAGACTCACGACTGGCCTGGTCACAAAGGTGTTCTCCACCAGGCTGGAGAAGGTGTCCTGCAGCTGCACTGAACCCAATCACCCACTCATGCCTTTCCAAATTGTGGGGATGTCCTCGCAATTTCGGGTCCGTTCCAAATAATGCCCATGTAGAAGGGTGGTTTGTAAGCTGTCTGTTCATTTCCTTCTTAAACGACAGGTGTGGTCGAACCTGTGCTGTTTCCATCATCCCCTACAACTACTGCCTGTCCTCTGTTACCGCCCCCTTCACGCGGAGAACTGAACACCAAATTTGCGGCATGCGGAAAGAGCGCATTTTGAGGGGCGCCTGAACTCAGCCCAATATGAAGGGCAGCGAGCCAAGGGTTGGACTTTTGAATCTTCAGCAAGCCTGACTGTGCAAAACCACGGGGGTCAGTATGCTTGACGCTTCTCTTGAATTTGCATCGGCGCCTGAGAGATCAGGTTGTTCGTGCTATACCTGTCGACGTGAGAAAAGAAGCTGTGGAGTTGTGGTCAAGCACGGTTTTTGCTGGGCGCACGTCTTGTTGAGCTCCTCCAACTTGGAGGGGATGTTGGCGTTCTCGCCCGTGGTGCCATACCTTCGCAGTGGCGACTGCCACTGCCGTCCATTCTCACAACGACCCTCGAAAAAGGGTGGCTTCAAGGGAAGCAACCCCTAAAAAGTCACTTAAGGTAATTTGGAGAAGCCTTAACAACCTAGTGCCACTGGGCCTTGGACCCCAGCATCCCTCCGCATCGGCTTTGCAAGCCAGGCGGCTTTATTCGAGAGTGAAAGCCCATGTTGCCGACAAGCACCTGACGAGGTGAATTGGTGCGGTGCCCGAAGCTACTCTCCGACTCTCCCTCTCTCCAGAACGAGCGCCCTGAACCGCAGCCGGATGAGGGGAGTGCCCCTCTCTTGGCACTGAACGTGATAGTTGATTTCTAGTCTGCCGCCACAATGACTTGCTGGAGGTCAAGATTTAGCAAGTCGCTTCCCAGTGCGGAAATATGGTAACCTCCCCATGTCCCTCCCAAATGAACCAGAGACTACTGGCAATCTTGACCGGATGTTTTACAGGTGCTGTGTCCATGCCCCGGCCTCACCCGTGTGCACGCCGCAGCGAATGTTGACCTGGCGAGTGGTTCACTGATCCGGCCGACCGTCTGCAATAAAAAGAAGAAGACTGACCTGCAGTGGGACTGCCATCAAACGGGTGTCATGGGAAAGCTAATGCTGACCCCGGATTAATAAACCCCTGATTATTAATATGTGTCCCTGGTTTTAGTGGGGATTTATCACTTTTGGAGGGGAACACCCCTCCCCAAATAAATAATAAACAGGGGTTTATCAATCCGGGGTCAACATTACTCTGGTTCTCGGCTGCTCCGCCCCTCCTTTTTGGAGGGGACAACCCCCCTTACACGGCGCGCGCAAAGCGCGGCACGCGGATTGCTCGCCTGCGGAAGGTCCCGGTGCTTTGACCAGGCGTTGATGCGGTCTAAGGACTGGCGGCAAGAGATGTCCGAGAACAGCGCACAGGGCCCGAAATCCTGGGCTTTTTGGCAAGAAGTTTTGCTATTTGGTTGATGTCTGGCCAGAAAACATGGAAAAGGATATAAAAGGACCTGTGCGAATGAAAGCACATGGTAGGGCTGAAGATAGGAAAGGCATCCCAAGTTCACGGCATGCGCTTTGCCACCAAAAAAAACACGAAACCTGCCATCATGTTCCTTAGCAAGCTGCATAGGCTCCGTTGCCCTCAACTTCAGGGGGGCGAAATGTTCCACGCTATGTTGACAAGCTACCGTGGAACGAAACTAAGGCAACAAAGAGGTACCGTAAAATGAGCCATGCGTCGGGACCAAGATCGGTGGATGTGGTCAATCCCATTGTGATTTGAGTCACACAGTTGTGATTTTGTTTTTGGAATGAATGAAATTGGACCACATCCACCGATCTTAGTCCCAACATGCGAAAAGCAGTCAGAAGACGAGCCTTTCAATCGGTCAGCAAACAATGCCGTTCCGTAGAGTCACCATGATTGCGCAACTCATGCGATGTTTTCTCAATGAACAAGAACGGTACCATCTCCCCCCCCCCCCAACCCTTCCTGTAGCGCAAATAGGGATCAACGGATACTGATACATCCCCAAGCAGTCAGAATGACAAGGCGCGGAGACTGATCTCTCTTTATGGCTGCGCAGTGAGAGTGTGGGCTAAGCCACTGCGGACTGCACACGCAAAGATATCAAGCTGTGACATTCACATGCAGTACAAAGTATGATGCAAAAGATTCCTACATTGCTGAAAGGGTCAATCATGTACAATTCAGGTAACACCCCCCCGCACCGATCTTGGTCCCGACGCATACCTAAAATGACCTGTGGTGAAAGCGGTTTCAGTATAAGACACATGGCCTCAAAGATGCAAAAGAATAATCATCTTCAGCTCCACGCTACCTAAGCCAACACCGCATTCCTAACAGCACTGCGTGTCCTCATGTGGCTTCACAATGCCTGCAAGGCACGTCTTGATCCAACATGCTCAGGGGCTCATATCTTTAAATGGACCTGCTTTGCCCACAAGTCTTTGTCGCCCAGTTGAGATCAAGGCGCGCGGTTTCCTGCGTTTCATTTGTCCAAAACCTGCGGTCCCCTGGTTTAATGACCCATACCCATTTCAGGGCTGGCTCGGAATGCCCGCCTTCAGCATCTTCATCGTCGCCTTCACGCAGGCCTGAAGCCGAGAGCAAAGGGGCTGGGGGCCCTGTGAGCGGCCGTGTGAGGGGTATGAGGCAAGGGCAAAACTCCCAAAGGGCATTGGAAAATCGGTGGGTCCCCTGAATTGTGTGGAAGAATAAACGAGTCCGCTGATGTTTGTGGGAATAGTAGTGGGTCCGCCTATGCCCCTCCCAAATTAGCCATGGACGGAATGTTTGACCAAACCTCAAAGGCACTAAAAGGTCTGCCTGATTCAAAATGAGCCCATGGAAAAGCACTCTTTTCAGCAGACTGGTCGCTGAACGTCACTGCAACAAATGCTCCACAATCCACAACGTTCCGAACGTCTTCTTCAAAGGGCAACCAAATACAAAAACTTGGGGGGCACTTGTGAAGGACCACTAGCCATGGAAAAGGTGCCGCACGCGGAACTGTCCCAACCCCAAGCCTCTGCATGCAGGGGATTCCGCAGCGGCGCCCCGAACACCGATAGGATGGCATCGCCGATGAACTCCTTAAGAAGCCACAATCGAGAACTGAACGAGACTCGGGCCACAGGACGCATTTTGCCAGAAGCCTTTTGCCCTCTGGGCAATGCATACGCTTGACAAGTTGCGCGCAGCCACCTCAAACCATTGTCCACCAGAGTTGACTCCAAACAACATATGGTGTTTATCTAGCTGGTCATTGTCACGGAAAGCTTCCCGAGCGCCAGGTGCAGCAAGCATTTGGAGATTGAGAGTGTGGACAACCATGGGTTCCGAACAAAAAGCGCCGCACTTGGTCTCGACAAACAGGTACAAGCTTCCTTTGAAGGACACCACACAAGGGGGCGCCAAGTCTTTTTTGTCTCACACTCAGTATTTGCACACACACCATAGAACATGTCCTGCCAATCGCGCACTCGACTCGGCCGACACATCGGCCCGTCAAAACAAAATCTGAGGAGCGATGACAATGCCTCCTTGGCTGTCGATCACCTGGCGCATTGACCGTTCTTCGTGAGCTTCTTGAGCTTGACTCGGGGACACAGTCGCTGGACAACTTCTCACTTTCCAGGTTTCGTGGTATCACGCTTCTGCCAGGAGCGGCAACCCTTGATGTATGGCAACCCTTCGGGCACTGCACTATTGGGACACTGGACTTGGTGGTTGATCACTTGCGAACAGTCAAACTTTGAGAGGGATAGGTCACGAATCCCTTCAAACTCCGACAATTTAAAAGAACAAGGCTATGGCTGGGGACCAAGTGAAGCTGACAAGAGAGCCTCAGTGATCGGTCTAAGGGCAACTTGAGCCGGGAAGGCCGTATCATAGACTTTGTACAGCTAAAAGCTGCACATCCCCCGAGTTCAATACAAATCTGTTTGATTGTTATCCCACCTGGGACATGTCATTGAAGTATCTGCTCAGCAGCACCAGCGAGCGCTCCTCGGTCACATTCGGCATTCACCGACTTTTGCCGTGTTCATTCCGTCAGGATCACTTTACGGTAAGTCTACCTGACGTCTCTTGGCATTTCGGGCCGTCCTTTGGGTGAGCTTCGGAGAGAGGGCTTCCCAAGCTGAAACAACGGGGAGCAAGCCCCAACACTCCTGGATCGACATCGAGCCCAAAAAAGCAGCAAATATATGTTTTTAGAGGAACCTTGCTTGGGGGAAAGGGACCAATCTGTTTGGGGCCCTTGCAAAGGCAAGATCTGAGATGCCGAGATCGGCCAGGAAGCCGGTGGCAGCTTCTCCACGATCGTGGTGAAGGAGGCGATGTCGGAAAAGAACATCCTCGACTCGAAAGCAGATGTCGCTTCCTGCCCAGTAGACCACAAGCATTGGCACACTTCTTTCAGATAACAGCACAAGGGCCCCTACTAGTACAATTCAAAGGCTCGATAGTCACCTGCCCAGACCGGTTTCTGATCGAATCAAAGGGTCTCGGAACCCTTCTGGTGGCGCCCCCCGAAACACGAGCCCAGGATCAGCAGTTCAGCTGATTTCGCAGAATCTCGCATTCCGTCGGTCAGCTTTGGGTGGAAAAGGACACACCCAAACTGAGCTGAAATCTTTGAGGGACTCCCTTCCAGCTAGACATTGTCTCCAAACGTGGCGAACCGTCGCGTGGTATGCCAAGACTCGTCACCTCCACGGTTCCGATCTTCAAAGCAGAGTCCACCCCTGGCCGGACAAAACAGCAACCCCCCCCCCCCCACCCGGCTGGAAAATGTGCGTCCCGAAAAGGAGGTTTCTCAAGGTGGAACCCTGTTTGCAAAGGGAAGCCACAAGGAAGCAGCGATCCCCTTTGAGAAGAAGCACCGTCAGAATCAAACGTGCAAGAAATCAAGCGAGGAACAAAAATAGTGACGATACAATATCATGAATATGTCATCAAGCAAAGTCACCATTCACTCTAGCCGGTGGTGCAAATTCTGGTCCTTCTCCCCTGCAACAGTGAAACAGACATGTCACCAGAAAAGACATGTCACCAGAAATGGCCCAGTTCTTGATGGCGCACCCAAATTGCCTTTTTTTTTCAAGCCGAGAGAAGTCCATAAACTTGTATCTCCTTAGATTGTTTCTGCTAAATTCTCGGCGCGGCTTTCTTCGCCCCCCGACAAAAAGAACTGGCGCCTTTCCTGTTGGTGTCCCTTCACAACCACCAAGAGAGGGTTACCAACCCAAAAACAAGGAGCCACCCAAACCGATGGACCCATGGACCAGACTGGATAGCGAGCCCGTGCTCGCCTGCTGCCAGCAGGATCTGAACCACCGGCCAGGGCACGTACTTGCCCCAGGAGCGGATGGCGGTCTTCCTAAGGCTCGCAGGCCAATCGCGCAAGTGTGGGGGTCAAAACAGAGACTTGGAATCCGTAATTCCCGGGTCCACCCCCAGTAAACCCAGCCTCTTGACCACATGCCTCCGACATAACCCCAATGAGCGAATGCGTCATGTCTGTCGTCAGCCTCGTGGCAGAGCGGTTCATTGAGCGGAGTGATTGAGGTGTTATGAACAACAAAGGTGTTTGAAACCAGCAGGCTGAGTTTGCCAAGATCCTTCTGCCAATCGTCCAATCGTTGCCAAGACAGCACGATCGGAATGACCAAACCCGATATCACGGAACAACTCGCGGGTGAACGCTGACCAAGCTGCGTCTTTTCGAAGATGCTCTCGATAAGGCGGATCTGAATCCAAAAAACACTCCAGGAAGCAGAAAGACTGTGACTGTGGCAGGCAACGAATGATGCAACAAGTTGTGAGCACCAAAGGGGGCACTTGTCTCTCGAGAAGCTGACGCCTCCACCAAAGTTTGGATCCATTTTGGTGGTTGAGATCAAGGGCGGGAGATGGGAACCAACATTTATCCACCTGCGCCAATCGGACAGATCGTCCCCAAAAAAAGTGAAGGATCCCCGCCATCCGATCGGATTAACCCACTCCGCCTCGGCCACGTTCCGGTCAAACATGATCTCCGTTTTGGTGCTCTGCAAGCCCGCCAGCTGCATCTGGGTCACCGACCTGAGCCAAAAAGCCAAGGAGTCGCCATGAAGCACTCCGTCCAAGCAGCGAACAGACCGCCGAACACTTGTGGACAAACTCGCTGACTGGCCAGAGACCCCAAGCTTTTCGTGCAAATTCTGGAACATGGGATAGCAAGATGCTTATGTTTCCTGCAGGCTTTTCTGTGCGCATCCTTGCGAAGACCCTGCTTGTTTGCACCCCTCCCGCACGATTGAGCGACTGTAGTGTACTTCAATGCAAAGCATGGTTGCCAGATCTACACAAGAGCGCAAGGGCTGAGAGCGCAGAGGCCCAAAGAGCACCCTCACTCCAAAAACTGCTTGTTTCCGATGGTGCTTGATGTATTGCCAATGTCGCAATGACCGGTGTAACTTGCATGTAAATGCCGAAAGTGGGCAAAGCAACACAGCGAGGAGACAAAGCTTTGAGCACCAAAATGTACAAAAGTGTCCTGTTAGAGCACCACCTACACCAGCCTCTGCCACTCCGCCGGAAATCCAGCCCAGCCCACAAATGGTTTTCTTGTGTCGCGTTATTTGAAGCCAAAACGACATCTGTCTAACAGGGATCTGGACCAAGGGGGGACCAGGGTGCATTCAAAATCGGCCCAGCGGCTGCATGTCATCCGCGAGCAGCCGAATGGGTCGCAGCAAGCCCCTAGGAGAGGCACTGACATCAACTCCGCTTCCTGTTGGGTGTGGTCTTAGGGGATGTTTTGCCCCCAAATGGTGGGAAAACCGCCTTGCAAACAAATTTGGACCTTTACGAGTTGACTTCAATTTCGCGGTGGCCCCTGCAATAGCTTCGACCGGTCTCTGGCTTTGGAGCCAGGTCCTTGCGCAGCCTTGCCATGCATTTGGGACGCAGGCAGGACGCCAATCCATGTCAGCCTTTTACGGAAGGACGCACTGTTGAGCGAGCATCCTTCTCTGACTGCCCCAAAACCCGACTTGCAAAGAATTGGAGCAAGACGTACGGCTCAGCCCACTTGCCACCAAGTGGAATGCCTGCTGGGCGGTGTGGCGAACAGAACATGTTTAGCTGGGCTGCTAACCTCATTTTCTATTGCACCCTTCTCCTTTTGTATGGCCGCTTCAAAACTTGTTGCAGGCGCGCTGGCATGCATCCAGCAGCCATGCGCTTTGCATGCCGCGCCAAGCTGCCAAGCGCAGAGACTCGTGCGTCGAGAGAGAGAAAGGCATCGGTTTTCCTTTTGGCGTCCCACAAAGGGGGTACCAAAAAACAACACACCCCATTGGTAGATGGTTTATCCCAAGTTGCAGGGGCTTTATTTATGACGAGTGGACTTTCCACCAGTATCACTTCCCGGGTCTCGAAACAGCTCTGGGCTGTTTCAGCTCACCTCGCCATATAGTAAGTGTTGTCTTTGCGAATTCGTTTTAACAACAGACATGTTGGCGTTGACTTCCATTACGGTCACCAGCCGCATCCGTGCTGAAGTCCTGTTCTGCATCCCGCATGCGGCTTCCATGGCACAGCCAAGTCTTGAAGGTGCGGCAGGCTAGAGACGAGTGTGCCCTTGCAAACGGCAAACCCCGTTCATTCTGAGAACAACTCCCGGGTTGCATTTACACACACCTGATCCCAAGCCTACGCCTTGCGAAATCGAATCGGCTTGGCCAAGCTGCGAGGACAGCGTGCTGACTTGCCTGGTGAAGACGTAGATGCCAACCTGAGCAACCAAGACCCCTTGACTTTGGTTCTACCCAACCTGGTCATGTATGCTCATCTGGGCCCTCCCATACGCTGATCAAACCAGAACCAGCTACCATACTGGCCACCGGATGCTCTTCTAAGGAACGAGAGCGGAACAAAACTCAGGGCGACAAATGCGGCCAACGTCATCTGATTTACGTGTTGCAAACCCGCCCCCCATGCCAAGGCAGTTTGCTGGGGCAGGCACCAATATCAAAATGATGGCTGTTGTCGTGACAATCACGGAGAACAGCGCATTTTGTTCCTACACGGGGCTGTGACACGTCAAATGCGTGCAAATGTTCCAAAGCAAAGCGGCCAAGGAAACGTTTGTTGGCGGCAAAGGTGTTAGGTGGCTCGAGCATCTATTTACACGCTAGCCTCTGGCATCGAGCTGTCCTCTCTCTCTTTCTCTCTCTGTATTCAAGCACAACAATTTGGAGGGATCTCTTGTAAGACCCGTTGCTCGATACTGGCTTATTAGGCCACACGTGGATCCCCCACCAGATGCAAGCTCGCCGGTCGGAGCGTCCTGAAGGTAGCGCATGTTCAGAAGAGCCAGCGAGGTAACGCTCCTGTTCAGATCCTCCAGCCTCAGGTCATATCTTTTGCGATACTCTGAGTGCCAAATATCGACAATGCAGATTTTGTGTTGCCCCTCTCACGATGTCAATCTCGGGCGGTTCCTGCTTCACCCTCTGGCCTAATCCAACTCATTCCAAAAATCGCACCAGCGATAGAAAAGAGCCAAAGATCAAAATGCAGATTTGGGTCGAAGAATCCATCTCGGGCGGTCGCTGAAACAAACCCTGCCAATGAATCACTTCCGTGGGTGCCAAACGTGCCACGCAAACCGTGGTCTTTTGGCTCCCGGCGAGCTCGAAGCCTCGCGTTGGCTATCATCCGGCACTCGCAGCAGCACCACGTCCTTGGAACAAAACGGGCCTCTTGAGGGGTGTGTCCTTTTTGAGGGTAACCCTGTTTTGGTGGTCTGAAAGGGAAACTAGAAGGAAAACCGCAATATTTTTATTGATACATATATATATATATACATATATAATTTCTGTGTGTTTTGCTTTGGGGGGTAAGACACACACACACACACACACACACACACACACACACACACCTTGGTTCTTGTTGGCTCCCCTCTTTGCCGGTGACCAGGGGCTCATCACTCGGGTCACCTGCAAACTGCGGGTAAGCACACCTTCAGGTCGACGGCGGAAAGCCTAAAGCCACTGCAGAATGTGACCCAAAACGACAGAGCCATCCTTTGAATTTGTGAGAGAACTTCAAAGCACCGTGCCTGCCACGAAATCTGCACTTCGCTGAAAGCCATCCGCAAAGCACTGCGCCACGCTGACAGAGTGATTTGTACGCATGTTGGATAACTTGAAACTTGTCAATAAGTACCTGAGTGTACGACAAGGAAACCAACAAAGACACTCCAGCTGCAAATCTCCTTGGAAGAGCGATTGCGGCACATTATGAACATTGGCCACACACAAAGAATGAAAGCATGCGCAATCCACCATGTGCAGAATCAATGTGACTTCACGATGAATCCACACTCCAGCACTTCCACCATGCAACAAACGTCTGAAACGCAACTTTTAACAGCGACCTGTTCCATACGCCTTCTATCAGGAACCCGTTGCTTTGACGTCTGGCCACCTAACAAGCCCTGCGAAATCCAACAGGAAACACGCTGAAATAAGCATGCAGATCTTCCCGTCAGATTGCAAATACCTTTGATATCCCCAATTGCGTACCTGTGTTTTGAAACTATACGTCTGCCAGAGCCATGACCACTCCAAAACGTCGCACAGCCATGGTCAAAGCTTCTTGCTTCCCCAACTTCCAGGCCCGTCCCCCATCCCAAATGGACCAACAAGTCTGGAAATGTCGGCAGCCGGATGCAGCAGGGCTTCGGATTGGCGGTGCTGTGATTGCTGGAAGGCCTGGTCGATTACTCCAAGTGAGCCAAGCAAAATATGTGCATTCCGCCAGAGGCATGGGAGGATGAGTGTCCTTTCGCCTCTCTGGGATCTCAAAGCGCACGCACCCCCGGTGTTTCTCCCAAAATGGACCATACGCCAAGTTCTTTGAACTTCAAGTGCTGGGTTTTGACCACTGACAACGAACACTCAAACCGAACACCCTGGGCAGAGGCCAATCCCAACTCGTGGATTTCGAGGCCTCCTCCACGGCCGTCAAAGAGCCCCGGGACGGCCAGGGCCACGGAGTGTGGGGCTCCGCGCAGCCAACTCGGAGGGACCAACTCGTCTTCGGCTCGGCGAGTTTTTTTTGCGGAGCCAACAGAACTCTCGGACTCTGAAAAGCGTCCCAAAGAGGTGACAAAAGCAAGGAGGTGAAGATTATTGATACAGAAGGACCCGGCATCCCGTTTGCTGATTTGCCTGAAAAAACTCAGTACGTGTTCATGTACTCTGGAAACACCGAGAAAACCCAAAGAACACAACAACCTCAGGAAAACCTGGGGGAAATGACCAGTACCTCCAAGGTTTTGTTCTGGGGATTGGTTTCTTTTGTTTCTAGTTCTTAGTTTGTTTGGATTGTGTTGTTCTTTGTGTTGTTTTGGTCTCCCGAGGCTTTTGCGCTTCCAGTATTGTCCCCTTAGTGTTTTCCGTGTATTCCTTTCGTGTTCTCTCAGTATTCTCTCAGCATTCCAATAAGTAGTATTCCCTTACTATTCCCAGGATATCCTGAGAATCCCTCATTGTTCCTTTACTAGTCCCCCATTCTTCCCAATATTCCCCTAATATTATCTTGCCGCTCCCAGTATTCCTTTAATACTCCAAGTGAATCCCTCAGTATTCCTCGTGTGTTCCTAATTTTCACAGTACTTCCCTAGTATTCCCTGAATATTCCCCTGGCAGTCCCCTTAGTATTCCCCTGTTCCTTTAGCATTGTCTTACCTATAGTGGTTGCATTCTCCTAGTATTCCCCGAATATTGCCCTGGTATTCCTTAGTATTTGCTTGGACCCCCTCGTATTCTCCCAGTGATCCCCTAGACTTTTCCTGTTTCCTCTTGGGGTCCCCTGGTATTCCCTCCCCTCGGGTCGGCCCTAGCTCTTTGCCCAGAAACTGGAGCCGCGGGGCAGGGGAAGTACTCTCGGGGCAATATTCGGGGTAAGAGACGGCTAAAGGAATGGGGGACCACTCCATGACTGAGGGGAATGCTGGGGGAATATTCAGGGAACACTAGTGAATCTTATGAATATGCTGGAATACTGAGGAATACTAGAGGGCACACCAAGAGAATACTAGAGGAATACTAGAGGAATACAGGGGAATACCGAGGAGAATACAGGAGGCTGCTAAGAAACTGCTAGGGGGAATATTGAGCACTGAGAGAATATGAGGGGTATACCAAGAATGTACAAAAGGAACTAGGTATCATCCCCTCGGTATTCTCAGAAAAATCCTTTAGTATTCTCTTGGTATACTCTCTAGTATCTCCTTAACGATTCCCAAGTTTCCTTCAGTATTGCCCTATTCGCCCTTTGTGCTTCCCTAGTACTTTATTAATATTCCCTAGCATTTTTCTTTTTATTCCCCTAGTATTCTCCCGGTACTCCCCGAATATTCCCCGCGTATTGCCTCAGCATCTTCTCTGAAAGCGGGGGAGAGGAAAGATGCTTGCAGTGGGTGGCCTTCTCAAAAAAAAAAAAAACGAAGACCGCATGTGAGAGTAAAGGCATCCAACACATCTATGCTAAGGTGTAAAAAAGGCTGCTTCCAAAAACCCAGGCCCCATGACGGGCCGCTCTCTATTGACATGAGTGGCTAAAGAGCTCAATTGACCCCCAAAAGCAATTGATCAGATCGAAAAATCGCCTGCACAAGGAACATGGGCGCAAAAGAATTGAGCCAGGAGTCTCCATGAGCTTTGAAAATGGGTCATGACCCAGAAAATGTCGAATATACCCCGTTGTTTTATTTATTGTGGTGACTCCAAGTAGCACAAATAAGGGAAATGCCCGTGTCAAAACTTAGGGCCCCCTGTTTGGTGACGGATTAAAAAGGAAGCCTTAGCAAAACAATTACACCAGCATAGACACCAAATAGCAAAAACCGCACCTGCGCCAGCACCCCATCAGTCCCGCAAAAACACGACCGCAGCGTGGCCAGCATCCAACAGCACCCCCGCCATCAATTTTGCAAAAAACGCGCCCGCTCCATCACCAGCACCAAAATGCGCCCGCAACGACACCAGCACCAGAAACAGCAACCCAAAACGGCACATGCACCAGTACCCAAACTGCAAGCCCCGTAGCACCATCTCGCAAAAATGCGCCCGCACAGAGACCAGCACCCTAAAACAGCACATGCACCAGCATTTCAACGACCCCTAGCACCAGCCGTGAATCTCGCAAATCACTTTCCCCTGTTCATTAGAAGTTTGATTCCCTAAAGCTTTCAGCTATCTGGGGAAAAGTCATGCAAGAACATGTGGTAGAGTCCCCGAGTTTGGCATAAGCCAAATACGTGGCGGAAGCGTTGAGCCTTCTTCGGAGCCAAGCTGCACTTCTCCTCAGACAGCTCGTTGCAAACAGTTCCTGGGCTGCCCCGACTTCCAGAGCCTGCCTCTCACCACCAACGCAACAAACTGTGCCTTTTGCCAAATCCAGACTCTCGCAGTCTTGGCCGAGCATCGCTGTGCAATGTCCAAGAAGATGAGGCCTTGAGACGGGCTTTCGCTCATTCCGAAGGTGAATGCACAGGAAACCAACCAAAAAATCGAACAAGACGCATCTCCGGATCAAGGGAGGCACAACCATCGGACCGGTGCAGTTCGCAACTCGACGTTGTCAAAACGATGGCCATAACCAGTCCACAAGGTGTCTGCTACCCAGACTACAGACATACATCCAACCCTACGAATCTAACCCTAAGAACCGATATAGATGGTGATGACTCCTTCCCTATGTGTTCGATGACTCTGGTCCTGACCAGAACAAGTGGCGATGTTGTGCCAAGCCGCTCCCACGGATCGACTGCACATCCAGGCTGGTGCTCCAGAGTAAAACTGACTCCTGCATGTGGTCTGGCAGGTCGGACCTGGCGAGCCCAAAAAAGGCCGTCTATTTGTTTAAGCCATTGCTTAAACAACATCCTGTTCGTGATTCAATTTCCCATAGATAACCAGGGGCAGTCCGAAGATTTCTACCGGGCCCAAAGTGACATCCTCGAAATGACCAGAGCTCAATGGCGGCGCCCAGCAATCAAATGAGACGCTTTGCCATAAGTTGCCAGGTGGCTGCCCGGGCACATCGTACCGGGATCCCATCACATCCAACATCTCCAGTGTTTGCCTGCCGCGGTTTTTTTTCCCTTGTTTACTGTTACCCTGGTCTTTCTCGAAATAGGGGTCCCCTTTTTGGAGCAAGGGCATCGTGCTCGGCTCTTTTCTGATTTTGTTTTGGCGGTTGGGGCGGGTGAAGTGGCTCAACAAACTGGAACTCAAGGACACAAGCTGCCATTGTTTGATTTGAGGCTCGGTCACTTGTTAGGATTAGTTTAAAGGGAAACCAAAAGGGAAGTCAAAACCCTATTTTGACGTACGCCTATTGACTGGTCCACGTGAGAAAACCACATGCTCTCCCATAGTTTTGGCTGAAACCTGAGACTGCAACATTGTGAGGACGCATGGCCCCAAAGCAGAATGATTCTTGGCAACAGCCCGAGCAAAACAAAGAGCGGAATCTGCCATACTAGTGCTTTCAGCGGATTTTGCATTTTGCCCAGCAGCACAAAGACTGTACCACTGGCTTCCACAAGTACCATCCGGCTCATGGAGTCTCCCCAAACGCACTCCCAAGCACAGTGTGCAAAACTGGGCAACCAGCTGATGGTGGGGTAAGATATGACAAGACCCTGGCCCCCTTTAAAGGAAAACCAACGTGCTCAAACAATAGTGGCCCAAGCCAGGCTAAAGAAAGCGGAATCGCGCAAGCGTGAAGAAGTCTCGCCTGGCGTTTTGGTTCTCGATGGACCAACTGAAGATACTGACTATGAGGATGTTGCCCAGCACGCCTGTCGGAAGGAAACCAAAAAAGAAAAAACGGACTCGGAACATTCGACAAGGCGCTGTGATCAATCGCAACGGGTCTCTCTCACAAGCAAGAAAGGACTCCCCTTTGGTCTGAGCCTTTGAGCAGAAGCTCAAGAGAGCAGGTGTGAAGACAAAGAAAGACCTGACCATCCGCTGCGCCTAAGGCAACCTTCACCCCAATGTCTTCCATTTGCTTGATCCGCTCGGAGTGCATGTAGGAAGACTTCAACAGCTGGTTCCTGCCAAGCGCGTGCTCTGACCAAGTCTCCAAAGCGACCAAAGGTAAAACCGGTAAACCACCGCTCCAATTGAGTCTCAATCAAAACCCGGGACAAGAATGGTCAACCCAGAACCATGGAACGAACTAAGAAGGTGGCCGCAGCTATTTGTGCCCTAAAATCGTCCCTTACTAACCTTCACTTACCCGGGTTTTGATTGTGGCTCAATTGAGTAGCAATGTGGGCCGTCCGATTCAAATCTAGGCCAAGGCCTTCCGATTTCGGCAAAAAAAAACGGCGATTCGGCGCTCACATGGCGGGGGCGACTTCGATCGCCACGAAACCATTCGCCACAAGCCGCCCGCAATTTCCACAAGCATTTCATTATGCCATTCTAAAGCTGTCTCACTGTACTCTACTCTCTGCCGCTTGGTGCTTTTGCAACCCAGCCAAATCATAAACTGCCAGGACCCCTCACAGGTGTCTTGTGCCGGAGAGCTTGTCCAGCTACTTGGCCTGATAGCCGTCCTCTCAAGAACTCCCCCCGCAAATGCAGCTGCCGGCAACACACTGCCATTTCGTCCAGACCCCATCTCTCTGGCACGCGCCATAGCCTGACAGCTTATCGAGAGCACCAGCACTGCACAAATCAAAAAAAAGAACCACAAGACAACTGTTGCACAGCTGCACATCTTCGTGAGCTTGGCGTATTCGAAAAGCTGGATATATCCCACCAAGCGACACATGTTGCCACACCCAGGTTGCTCCATCCCAGTCCCGCAAACTACTTTAGCTTGCAGCCACTTCTTCCAGAGCAGACTTTTGGAATACTACTTTAGTCTTGCAACCACTACTTTAGTCTTGCAGCCACTTCTTCCTGAGCTGACTTTTTGGAATGCTACTTTAGTCTTGCAACCACTACTTTAGTCTTGCAGCCACTTCTTCCTGAGCTGACTTTTGGAATGCTACTTTAGTCTTGCAACCACTACTTTAGTCTTGCAAGTCACTCTTCCTGAGGCTGATTTTTGGAATGCTACTTTGTGTCTTGCAAATCATCATCTTGCAAGCCACTTTTCCTGGAGCTGATTTTTTGAATGCCATTTTAGTCTTGCAACCACTACTTTGTGTCTTGGTAAGCTACTTTTCCTGAGCTGGAACTTTGGAATGCTACTTAGTCTTGCAACCACTAACTTCCAGTCTGGTAAGCCACTTTTCCTGAGCTGGCTTTTGGAATGCTACTTGTGTCTTGGTAAATCACTACTTTGTCTTGTAAGCTACTTCTTCCTGAGTTGATTTTTTAAACAAGCATTTTAGGTCTTATGCAAATCACTACTTTGTGTCTTGGTGTTTCACTTCTTTCCTGGAGCTGGATTTTGAATGCCATTTGTGTCTTAAATCACTACTTTAGGTCTTGCGTTCACTTTTTCCTGAGCAAGACTTTTTGAAATGCTACTTTGTGTCTTGGTAACCACATTTTGTGTCTTGCAGCCACAATCTCCCGAGTTGGATTTTGGAATGCCATTTGTGTCTTGTAAACTACTACTTCTTTTGTGTCTTATGTTACTCTTCCTGAAGATTTGAATGCCATTTAGTCTTTGCAACCACTACTTTAGTTCCTATAAGCTACTTTTTCCTGAGCTGATTTGAATGCCATTTTGTGTCTTGCAACCACTACTGAGTCTTGCAAGCTACTCTTCCTGAGCGATTTTTGGAATGCTACTTTAGTCTTGCAAACCACTAAACTTTGCACACGGCCCACTTTTTCCTGGAGCTGAACCTTTGGAACCATTTTGAGGTCTTGTAACCACTACTTTAAGTCTTTGTAAGCTACTTCTTCCTTGAGCTGATTTTTAATGCTATTTGAGGTCTTGCAAACCACTACTTCAGTCTTGGTAAGTTGCTTTGATGGAGCTGATTTTGAAATGCCATATGTTTACATTGAAGCGCAACGCCATACATCATGTCCCACTTCTTCCTGAGCCAATTTTAATGCTACTTTGTGTCTTGCAACCACTACTTCCAGTCTTGCAAGCTCACTTCTTTCCTTCCTGGAGCCGATTTTGGAATGCTACTTCAGCTTTGCAAACCACTACTTCAAATCTTGCAAGCCACTCTTCCTGGAGCTGGCGTTTGGAATGCTACTCTCCAGTCTTGCAACCATCATTTGTGTCTTGCAAGCCACTTGGACTCTAGTCACTTCTTGGAATGCTACTTTGTCTTGGCCAATCTACTTTGTAGTCTTGCAGCCATTTCTTCCTGGAGCTGATTTGAATGCTACTTCTGAATCTTGCAACCACTTTCATTTGGGGACTTAAACAAAAAACACGGATGATCGGGCTAGAAATGTTTACTTGAGTCTTGCTTGGCCAATGTTTCTTGCAAGCCACTCTTTCCTGAGCAGGCTTTTGAACGCATTTTAGCCTTGCAAACCACTACCTTGTGTCCCTATAAGCCACTTTTCCTGGAGCTGCTTTTTGGAATGCTAATTTAGTCTTGCAACCCACTACTTGTGTCGTGCAAGCCACTTCTTCCTGAGCTGACCTTTTGGAATGCCATTTTGAGTCTTGGTAAAATCACTACTGAGTCTTGCAGCCACTTTTCCTGAGCAAGGCTTTTGAATGCTACTTGTGTCTTGCAAACCACTACTTTGAGTCTTGCAAGCTACTCTTCCTGAGCTGACCTTTGGAATGCCATTTTAGGTCTTAGCATGATTCAGTCAAGGTCTTGGTGTTTCTTCCTGCGAGCATTTGCATTTTCTTAGGCCCTTTGGTAAACCAATTACTTTGTGTCTTGCAGCCACTTTTCCTGGAGCTGATTTTTGAATGCCATTTTAGTCTGGTAACCATCAGTTTGTCTTGCAGCCACTTTTCCTGAGTTGATTTTGAATGGCATTTGTGTCTTGTAACCATCATTTTGTGTCTTGCAGCCACTTTTTCCTGAGCATATTTTTTGGAATGCCATTTTAGGTCTTAAATCACTACTTTAGTCTTGCGTCACTTCTTCCTGAGCAGATTTTGGAATGCATTTTTAGTCTTGTAACCACTATTTTGAGTCTTGCAAACCACTTTTTCCTGAGCAGACTTTGAAATGCTACTTCTTAGTCTTGGTAAACCACTACTTTAGTCTTGTGCTACTCTTCCTCCGTAGACCTTTTGGAATGCTACTTCAGTCTTGCAACTACTACTTTGTGTCTTGCAGCCACTCTTCCTGAGCAGGTTTTGGAATGCCATTTTAGTCTTGTAACCATCATTTTGAGTCTTGCAAGTCACTTTTTCCTGAGTTGATTTTTGTAATGCTATTTGTGTCTTGTAAACTACTACTTTGTGCCTTGTAAGTCACTTCTTCCTGAGCTGATTTTTGGAATGCTACTTTAGTCTTGCAACCACTACTTTAGGTCTTATAATCACTTTTTCCTGGAGCTGATTTTTGAATGCCATTTTGTGTCTTGTCTCATCATTTTGTGTCTTGCAACCACTCTTCCTGAGCACATCTTTTGGAATGCTGTTGTGCTTGCAATCACTACTTTGTGTCTTGCAAGTCACTCTTCCTGAGCAGATTTTGAATGCTACTCAGTCTTAAATCATCACTTTGTAGTCTTGCAAACCACTTTTCCTGAGCACATCTTTGAATGCTACTTGTGTCTTGTAATCACTACTTCAGTCTTGCAGCCACTTCTTCCTGAGCAGACTTTGGAATACTATTTTAGAGACATGAAAGACATGCGGCTACTTTGTAGCCTTGCAAGTTTGCAGGCCCTGAGCTGGATTTTGAATGGCACATTTTGTCTTGTAACCATCATTTGTGTCTGTAAGCTACTTTTCCTGAGCTGATTTTTTGAAATGCATTTTTAGTCTTGCAACCATTTTAGGTCGTGCAGCCACTCTTCTGAGCTGATTTTGGAAATGCCATTTTATCTTGCAACCACTACTTTAGCCTTGCAGCCACTTCTTCTGAGCTGGATTTTTGAAATGCTACTTTAGTCTTGCAATCACTACTTTAGTCTTGCAAGCCACTCTTCCTGAGCTGCTTTTTGGAATGCTACTTCAGTCTTGCAACCCACTACTTCAGTCTTGCGTTTTGTTGATGGCACAACTTTCAGGAATTGTTCCATCAATACGTATTGCAGCTAGCTGTGTCGCTGTCCCCCGGATCCACTAACAGTCGCTCCTTTTTGGAATGCCATTTTGGAAGTGGTCCAAACATCCTTCATCTATGTAAGCCACTTTTCCTGAGCAGATTTTACTCATTTAGTCTTGTAAACCACTACTTCGAGTCTTGCAAACCACTTCTGAGCTGACTTTGAATGCCATTTGAGTCTTGCAAACCACTACGGTCTTGCAGCCACTCTTCCTGGAGCTGATTTTGGAATGCTATCCATTCTGCAAATCACTACTTTGAGTCTTGCAACCACTTCCTGAGCAGACCTTTTGGAATGCTACTTTGTGTCTTGCAAATCACTACTTTGTGTCTTGCAAACCACTTTTTCCTGAGCAGACTTTTTGGAATGCTACTTGAGTCTTGCAACCACTACTTCAGGTCTTGTAAATCACTTTTCCTGAGCACATTCTTGAATGCTATTTTGTGTCTTGTAACCACTACTTTGTCTTGCAAGCCACTTCTTCCTGAGCTGGTTTTTTGGAATGCCATTTTAGGTCTTGCAAACACTACTTGTGTCTTGTAAGTCACTTTTTCCTGAGCTGATTTTGGAATGCTACTTAGTCTTGCAAATCACTACTTCAGGTCTTGCAGCCACTTCTTCCTTTGGAGCTGATTTTGGAACGCTATTACGGTCTTGCAACCACTTTTCACCTCGGAATCCCCATTTGATTTCCTGAGCACTTTGGAATGCTACTTCAGTCTTGCAACCACTACTTTGTCTTGCAAACCACTGCTTCCTGAGCTGACTTTGGACCCTTATCAGTTCCTATAAAATCACTACTAGTCTTGCAACCACTTTTCCTGAGCAGACTTTGGAATGCCATTTTGTCTTGCAACCACTACTTATTCTACTTCAGTCTTGC